AAAGATACTGTCATAATTCCTATTCACAGGGAAAAAAACAAGTTTACGTGGAAAAATTGGAAAACATTTAGGAAAGAAGTAAAATATATGTGTATATTTGATGTCTGGAAATCTGCCCTACAGTGAGGGAACTGAAGAAGCTCATCCAAGAGAAGGTTAAGACATGACTTGGTTCCAGTTTCTCCTAGGGTCCTTAATTTAGCCGACACCAGCGTAGTGAGAGCCAGTACCAGGGTGTAAAGCAAAAAAATTCTGCATAGAAACAGGTCACTTTGAAGTGGGAATATTTCTGCCAATTGGAATAAGGAAGGTTATAGTTTACATCTTTTGAAGTCTTTAAATGAAGATCAGATTTTATTCTAAAAATACATGTTGCTTACCCAGATGTTATGTGATTGATACAAGAATTGTTAGAGGAAGTATGTCTTGTGCTACACGGAAGGAAAAGCTAGTTGATCATAAGATGCTTTCTAGCCTTAAAATCCATTCAGGTATTTCTTCATGTTTAAATGTCTTAATTAATAAACTTAACAGTGTTATTCATGGTTTTATACAATATTTTTAGCAAGCATAAAATAGAAGCAAAACAATCCTTGCCTAAATATGATGATACAGAATCCCATGCCTTTTCTAGTGTTTAGATGAAGAACTCTTGGGCCATTTCAAGGTCTTTGCTGCTGCCACCATAGCATGGGTATCAATAGAAACCTGCTGTCCTTTATGTGTAGTGGTTACCAAAAAGCATACTTTTCCAGGGTACGACACAGTTAATAAATAGTCCTCAGAAAAATATTAGCTGTCAGCATTCCTGGAGTTTATGCCTGGATTTAGGGGGAAAGGCAGCAATGATATCAGTAAGTGTAGCAAACCACAGGAATTTAATACTGTCAGTCTGAGTGTTTGGACTTCATGGTTTAGATTTAGATTTGCCTCGTTTGCAATCTTGCTGTAAAATGAAAGCAAAACTCTGTGTTTGCTTTCTCTGGGCAGGGAAGGTAAGAATGTATTCAGTACTAAACACTTTAAGGGATAAAGCTGTATTTTAACAGAAGAAAAGAGACAAGGGAAGATATAAAACATGACCTCCTAGTTTGAACTGATACGAAGTGGGAAGGAGAGAAAAAAGAGCTCATCCAATGATGCGGGAGAGGAACTGCACAAGTTTGTGGTCCCATTTACATCTTTTGATTTGTCGCACACTAGCTACTAGCAGTGGGATGTGAGAAAAAGGGCAGGAAAACCTAATGGCTCTTAGCTCCTTTTCAGTCTGTCTCCTCTCTTAGGGATACAAAGAGAAGTCATGTTAACTCATATACCTGGTTTATGTCAGTAGAATTATGTGCAGCATCATAGTGATACTTTGCAGTTCAAGGCTTTTTCCAGTTGTGCTTGTGGTCGCTCTTCCTGTCTGCCTTCCTAGCATGTTCCTATTGCACATTATGCCAGTTCATCTAAACTGCTATTTTCATGGAGGCCGAGTTATTTTTAATTAGTGTACATGGCCAACCTGTTTTGCATGCCATAACTGCATATATTATCAGGACACATTTTGCAGTTTATGGCAGGATTAAAACTGGGTTTCAGAAAGGATTTCTGGAGGGAAAAAAAATACCTTCTACTGATTACAAAGCAAAATTACACTGATGTGGGAATCTGTGACTGTGGTTAAAGGACATGAAAGATAACTTAGAGCAAATCAAATGTAATGCAAGAGGGGGAAACCAAACAAACCGCCAATTCTATATATGCTAAGGCCTTGTTTGAGGGAACCACAGAGCAATTGTGAGGCTGCTCTGCACAGCTTAATGTTAGTTCCCTGTCAGAAGTAGATGTGTCTGTCCTGTGTCTTCTGTTTCTTTGATTACTTTGTAGGGAGATGGTGAGAGAGACCTCAGTGCAGCCCTCCGGGCTTTTTGCTCCAAATCAAAGCTGCTGCTTTGTGAAGCAGAATAACACTTCCACAGCCATACAGGTCTCTCCAGGCACACAACTTTCTTCTGAAATTCCAGCTATTGATTCATCTCATCCAGTTCCCTCTTTTCTTTCACAACACTGAGTCTCATTTTCCTAACTTTATAATTAGGAGGCAAAAACACCTTTCTGAACAAGCTTCCCAAGTTCACTAAGAGTTCCTCAGGACGATGCTATTCAACTAGGGTGAGTTCAGCATTTCTCCTCCAATCAAATTATGTTTTACCAGAAACATTCTGCTTTTGTCTTTTTTTTTCCCCACTTGCCCTGGAGACTGAGTCTATGTGGCTAGCCCTTGTACAAGTTCTGAGAATATTCTTCAAAATCTGTCTCCAGATGCATATACAACAGCTTTGTGATTGTGACTTACTGCATATAAATTTCCTATTGCATCTGACCTGCCCTGCTGTCCTTCAGGCCTCCTCAAACCATTTCAAGGGAAATTTCTATGTCCTAATGCAACAAATATATACTGACAATTGTGCAAGACAAAGTTTTAAAATGTATTGTATACACTTTTCTGCATAGTTTGCAGTAAGAACTGTTGCTTCTTGTAAATTCAAAACAAGTGTGTGTTTCTCATAGGCCGAGGTTCTAAGAAATGCTAAGCATAGCCTAAAATATAGCTTAAAATTTTAAAACATACGTTAAGGACTTATCAGCTAAGTCCTATGCACAAAGCTCAATAAATAACCCCTTTCAGGAAGAGTGTTGTTTGAACTAGTAAATAACAGCTGAATATCTCTGTGTGAATATGAGCCAGCATCTGTTCTTACAGCAGCATGAATCAGAAATAACTGCATCAAGGACAATACATGCTTCATCTTATTTAGATTAAAATGGATTTTGGTGCCCAGCCTTCAAGCTATTGGGGTAGATATGTTGACTGGTCACATTCTGAAAATAGAAAGTTTTGGTTTTCATACAGTTCGTAAGTGGAATGAGTGTCCTTTCAACTGTACCAGTAATGAAAACATACAGCAAATATTTCCATTACAATTGGACTCTGTATGCAGTTATGGAACAAAACATCATTAAATGAAGTGAAACATTTCCTAGAATTCTCCTACCACATCCACATATTATGTTAATTTACTCTGAATTTAAGAATTCTGATCCTCTATTTCTCAGGTAGGAGCAGTCATCTTCATCTCATTTGTTCCTAAGTCTTTTGAATTCCAGCTTTGCATTTTCAAGGCTTTTATCAGTGCAGGGATCAGCCAATTTTTGCTACATTTTACAGGCTTGGCAGCAAAAGAACAAGGAAAAAACCGCAAACAATTGAATCTTTTGTTCTCTGGGGCCTAGAGCTCCTCTCTCCTTCCAGCACCTCCTGGAAAGCAGTAGAAGTAGTGTGGTTGTATTTCATAAGTTACAGTAAGGCTTCAAACATTGTGAACTTGGAGAATGTATCCTCTTTTCCTTTCCAAAGCATGAGAAAGTGGCTGTTGCACTGGACTACTATGCTGTATATAGAAGAATCACCTATTCCCCTGCACCATCCCATACTCTTACTGCCATGCTGGGAAGTTAAGTGTTTATGATAAGTAAATGGATGGTGTTATGGTCTGTTCTTTCATGTCATTCCTGAGCAAATTCTGAACTTCAATTCCAAGTCATTCTCTAGGATCTGAAGCTACAATTCCTAGTCCTGAGGTGCCACAAGATACCTCTGTACTAACTGTGATTTGTACTAACAGTTGTCCTCCAGACCTAGTGATGAACCTCAGCCAGGTAGTTCTGAGGTGGATTTTTGAGTCATTTTTTATTTTACTCTTGCTCGTCTTTGATAAGACCCCTTTACGCTCTTTGAACTGATGCAATGATGAAGGGAGTCTTACAACACCACCTTTTCTGGTTCTATGTTCAGTGTGGATTTCTTCAACCTGTATGAAGCTCTGCAGCCTATTTAAAAGCTAGTCCTGCCTTGACAGGTTGTGTCCAGAGCTGCAGCAAAGTGGTCCCAGAAGGGCCACAGACTGAGGACAGATATATCCCATGTTTCCTGCTGCTGAGGAAGAGAAACATCAAGCTGAAAAGGGAACAACTGTAAAGAGCCCAAACAAGCTGGATTGTAGTATAGGAGACAGTCTAAAGACTCTTAGGACCTGGGAAGGGGAGTAATTTTCTTGAGCAGAGATGCTTTAACATCTATTTCTTTTGCTATGACAGTATCTATATTCTTTATGAACTTAAACAGTATCATTAGCAATTACAAATGTGCATAATATATATTAGTATATCAGGGGCTTAGAGAAGATCCAAAAACCCTTTGACACAGTAGATAAGTGAAGAAAAACCTAAGGTGAACTGGATTTTTAATCACAAGCTTAGCCATCCAACTAATTTGCATGAAGTTTAAGTGAGAGCCTTAAATTACAATGAAGATGTCTCCTATGTTGTAATTAGATGGGAAACTCCCTTACAGATTTAGAAAGTCCTAAAATAACTGAATTGAAGATTATTTTATACCATACAGAGTTACAAAACAATTTAATATAATTTCTAGAGTTTTTTATAGCATGGCTTGAATAACAATAAGATTTTATTCACACTTGTCTGGAATCATAAGTATGAATCATCAAATGTTGCCAGTCATCAGTAATGCTCACATCTCAAACTCATGCTGAAGAGCTTGGCTTTACAGCATGGTCATAGACTCATTATGTAACATGAGTGATTTTATATGAATACTATGCTGTGTATGTTCTGTTACAGATTACATCTTCCATTTTTCATGGCTATATGAGCCAGTAGTCCCTACAATAAGGTCTGGGGTCAGTTAATGATGCTGCCTTAATATACACAGTTTTAACAGACCCAAACTCTGTCATGGCTGTGCAAAATTGCCAGCATGTTCTGATCTTGACCATGCCTCTGTTCAGCCTTCGCATTGCTCCTTTCTGAGCTTCCTTCACCCCCTTAGGAACCTTTCAATGTGCTGTGCATAACTGCAGGCATGATGTTTCAGCTGTGCAAGATGTTTCTAACAAGGAAGAAAACCCAAAAGATCTCTCCAAAATCTCTGGTTTAGATTTAATTTTATTTGTCATCTTTTATGAACAAATTACGAAATATACTTCATCCACAAATTGGAAATATTTACAATTTCTTTACAACAAGGCATTGTTGAGGTTTTGATTTATGGCATTCTTAGAGCATTCTGTCTTTCAAAACAAAGACATTGGTGTTGTTTTCAGCACACTGTTCATTTACACTCTGAATGTGAAATGGGAGCCTTTAGGAAGAGTAATTTGCACTCTCTTTTGGTATGTTCTACTGGTAAAACTGAGGCTGGATGCGTTTGCAATGTGGGGAGGGGGACTGTTCAGATGCATTGCTGGCACCATGCCACATGATCAGAACCACCATATTACACCAGATGCTGCTAAGTGGGGAGGAGAAAAAGATTCCCCTGAGCCATCCTTCCTCTGCCCTCTTCTATTCTCTTTAGGAATCCTGTGACCGGGCTAAATGTGGTCCAATTTAATTATTTTTTTCTGGTTTCCGAGTCGTTAAGAGAATAGTCTTGAGAAGTTCATTTCAAATACTATCACAATTCTGAAAAGTTATTCAGACAAAAAATAATAATAAAAAGAGAGTAGCCAGGAAGTGAATAAATATTTTATATCCGCAAAATGTTTAGGAGATGTTTTTTGATCATGTTTCTAAAAGGGAAATGCAACTGTGCTGTTCTGCGGTTGTGGCCTTCGAACCATAAAAGCTAAGGTAGTTCCATTTTCTCAGTGTCTTAGAGTCTATTTTTTTCCTGAAGAAAATTCTAAAACCACTTCTTTCCATGGAACTTTTAAAAATCTCTTAATATACACTTCCATTATAAATCAGATGTGGGCCACCATTGCTTAAGTTGTCTGTGATTTCCTGCAACAAGAATAGAAAACACTGATTAAAAATACAATTCTTTAATGATGTTTGAAATTTTTTTAGTTAAGTTTGTAATAAAAATTTAACAAATTCTGAATTTCAAACACTTAGAAAAATTTTACAATTTTTAATTTTGTTTGATAAATCTCACTGTAAAAGAAAAGAAATCACATTTCTTCCTACATAAATTAAGTACATTTGAAAGCTGATAGACTCATTGATACTGATTGAGTCGGACATTACTCTCAGACTACACATACAGCATTGATGGCATCTGTGCAAGTTTTGTGATGTTGTCCTTTGAAAGTGCCTCAATTCAAGCTTGTGTGGTAATCTACAAGGGAACAAGATAGTACCTGAGTCTTCATTTCCATTCAAAGTTTTTTTCTGTGCTGACATGCTACAAACAGGTACCATTTGATGCTAGCTGGGATAGGCATTTGGGAAGCAGGTCTAGATCCAAACAGTACTGCTTGCCTTGGGACAGCACTGATTTTGGTTTTGATTTAATATGCCAGACTACAATTTTTAGCAGTTCAACAACTCAAGTGGCAAATGAGTCATCAAGTAAGCTGACCTGATCATGAGTCAGAATCCTGAAGCACCTAAACCAAAGTTTGTTTGGAGTTAAACTCTCTAATTCTAAAATTGCAATCCAAACCATATCTACTTAGCAGCTAAGCCTAACGTTAGCTGTCTACATTAATTAAGCACTTCTCTGACCTTCAAGGGTGCAAAGCCATGTGGAGTTTATGCTCAGAACTGCCTTATTCTAAACATTCCTAGGCCTATTTCGTACCAAAATAAATCAAGATGCAGAAATGAAGTGATCTGCTGCTTATGTCCAATGGCAGATCCAAGAGTATATCCAACTATTCCAAGAAGAATGGATACACATGAAAATGAAGTTTGGGTTATTCTTTTTAAAATTCAGGTAGGTAAGGTGGGGCTGCCATTGTTGGGCTAGTTCTAAAATATTTGCATGAGAACCAGCAGCTCTTCTCTGCATGAAAAGATTAAATTCACCTTTTCCACCTCCTAGGTACAGTTGGAGAAAATGTGAAAGGAAAGGGATTTGTTTTTCTCCTTCCTTGTGGAAATTTATATTAAGAAAATAAAGCAAGATTCATTGGGCTAAAGTGAGAGAGAGAGAAAGACAGAAAGACAGCCTGACTCTATGGCATTGTAGCTGAGATTCTCAGGAAAAGAAAATTCTGGGGCCTGGTCTTTATTCCTAGTCTGGCTTGTTCTCTCTCTTCTTTTAATCTACAATGTTTAATTTATGAATAGTTTAGGAGGCAGAGACCAAAACTCAAGGTTTCACACACTAGTGCCTCCTCTCTCAGGTGTTGCCAGCTACATTTTGAAGTAGATCGCAAGACTCAATTGTCCCTTGAACAGTTTTTAAAGAAAGGATGTTCCTCTTCACAAAGTAAACTTTGGGCCATCAAACCAAGTATCCTTGCCAGTTAATACTCCTGAATCAAGCACAAGCTTCAGAGAAAGTAAGATGTGTAAACTTACTGAATTTTAGCATTTTCTACTACCCAGCTCTCCATTTGGCAGGTGATGGTGTCAGACGTTTTTGTATGGTGCCTTATTCTCCTCATATAACTGAAGAGGAACATGCATACCTTACACTAGCCCCAGGATCCCAGTCTGAGAGCTGTCTGCTCTGAAGCAAGGCACTATGGTTTGTCTGTTTGTAGGTACTAAAGCCATTTAATATTCATTATCAGTCAGCCACAGGTTAATAGTAATGATCTGTCAAAAGGCTACTCATGAGTAAGTGTAAGTTTTCTTTTCTCAGCTTTATCACTTGAATCCTCTGCAGATGTCAGCTATTAGAATATCATTATAATTTCAGAAAATATTGAAAACCATTTATTTTCCCCAATATTTATATTTTCAAAAATAATAGTATTAATAAATTAAAAAGCGTTGCTGAATTCAAGAAATTAAGGAGCACACAGATTAGAAGCAGTGAGTCAATGGTGGCAACATCCAAATAGGAACATTTAGATGTCTATAACTAGGGTGAATATTTTAAATACTCAACTTACTTCCAGATTGCAGCATTCACCACGTAGAATTATGTCACCACCTAGAAGCACCATTCCTGACTCAGAGTGGCATCACAGCATCAGCCAACTTTGATTAGCTGAAACTATGACTTCCTCTTAGAGGTGGCCCTTCCTGAAGTGACATAACAACATGGTAGCGCCCTAGTGTTCAGCGTACCTTGGAGGTAACTCTGGTGTCGGGGGAACCACCGGGCAGCTGGGCAGGTCGGTTATTTCAATACCCCTCAATCTCTAATATAAATATAACAATTATACGATAAATATAGCAAAAACAAATGCACATGCAGTATATGTCTATATTACTGTATATCATTATAAATATACAAAATAGTCTTATATATATAAAACAATTTAAAGCTATTTTCTAAATCAGGGCCTAATTTAATGTAAGTTTTTAAGTAGCCTTCATTATTTTTAAGGGCATGCCTTGAGCTAACGTCCTCAAACCTGCCGGCAGCAGGCCATCCACAGGCTGTAGGTCTAAGAATTCCAGATCAGACCATCTCCGCATGCATTCTGCAACACACATGCAGGGTGTCCACCATCAGTGGGGCGCATCCCAGATTCACTGAGCATGTGCAATGGGATTTCTCTGCACATGCATCATGGCCCTTCACCCAAGCTAAGTGGGAACCTGGCAGTCCTCACTGCTAAGTGTCTAAAAGCTCAGTAACTCAACAGACCAGGAAAGGAGGCAGTGAATTACTGCTATATAGTCATCTTCAGCTCTAATTGATAGGGTTGGCAGGTGTTTGTATTTTGAAATATTTTTCTTCCCAAGCCCTTTATTATTTTTTTTAATCTCTTTTTCTCTCAAGTGGGCTTCATCTTTGTCATTGTTGAGGCAAAAGCCTCTTTGGAAGGCAGCCTCTAGCCCAGCATCTGCAAGGCCATGGTCATACTTGCCTACATAGCTCGTCAGAATTCTGCTTCATTTTAAAATGAGAGAGAGCAAGAAATGGCTTGTTCCCCCTTGATTTTGTCACTCTGTTTTATGGTACTGTGGTAAGCTATATTATTTAACTTTAAAAAATATGTTTCAAACATCTTCTAAAGTTAATTCAGTCTATGTTTCTACTTGTAGTCTCATCTCAGTTAAGAAACCAAAGAATAGTGACAAGTCATTCTGCTTGATGGACAATTAACTGCTATATCATGTTTTGTGAGGGAATCTGAAAACATTCTACAGTCTGTTTAAATTCATCCTCGCTCTGTTCTTCAAAGGTCTCAGTAGATTCGATGCAGACTGTTGAACTTAACTGTAATGCAAACTTGCACATGGAAGTTTAGTTGGACAATCCACTTGACATTTGTTCCCTTCTCTATTCATTTCTCAAATGAAAGGCATTGGATATAAAGTCCAAAAATAAAGCACAAGATGTCAGTGAACATTTTACTCCTCAAATGTTAATCAGATCTTCAAATCCAAGGAGCTGATTTCAAGAATTCTATTCAATTAATTCTTTTGGCCCTACATGCTCAACTTTGGGAGCTTAAGTTTCAGCACCTAAACATAGACGTAGACACCTTGGTAAACTTCCTTTTTAACAGAGAATGGCAGTAAATGCTCCATGCTGCTGCAGATCTGACCAATTTCATTTAGGTGTCTGAATATGCCTTTTAGGTGCTGAGGTTTAGTCATCTAGGTTTGTGAACTGTGGCTTTTGTGTTTAAATAAACAACTTTATAAGCTGAGTACTTGGGAGAGGAAGAAATTGATTAAATCCTGGAAGCATGCAATGATGTGGTTACAGAAAGCATTCTGTGCTTTTTCATAGTACAATACATGATAATCCATATTAATAAGGCTTCTAATTATTTATGAAGTGCTATATTTAGCAGCTGAGCCCTTGAATAGCTATACAATGGAATTATGTTGAAAATGGATGTACTTCATTGAAATGGATGTACTCCAAATATACAGTACCTTAAAATAGCTACATATAATGCAACATAATAAAGCTTACACAGAATGGCAATGTTTCATTTCCCAGAAGCTTTCTCATATAAAACTAAAAAGTGAATATATCTCTTGCCAATTGTAGATGTTAACACACACAGTAGCATTTTAGGAGAAGCAGAACAAATAAGGGAGGACACACAACTCACTTTTTCTGCCATTTCATGGGAGTGATGCAATGAATGTTCTCTTTCTGAGAACATTCGCCTTTGTTCATAGCTGGCTAGCCGACAAGTGAGCCATGAAGAAAGGGTGCAACCACCAATTCCAATGCATGCAAGAGACATGGAGGCAAGATGCAAAGAATAGAGAGCAGACGACTTCTTTGTCAGCGCACGAAGAAATTGAAAGTTTAAGATTCCTCCAATTAGTCCACAGATGCAACAGGCAGAAAAAAGGATCATCTGTCAGGAAAGACAAGAGAGGTTATGTCACAGTAACATTTTCTAGAGACAGATTCATTCATATAAAAATGAAACTAACCATAATTCAGTGCTTCAATAGCATCATGGATTGCAAAACACTTCACAGACACTCATTTTAACTCCTTCATCTCCCACAGAGCTCCAAGGGAATACAGTACCTTCTTGTACACAGGATTTAAGATTGATGTTGCACGTGAAAGAGTTGGGTAGAATGAGTTGCTTATTCTAAAAGCTAGTCAATGGAAGGACTCCTAGGGCACAAGTCTTATCTCAAGTATTTCATTCAAAACAATAACATGACAGTATGTTTTGTAATTTTCTATTGTGCAGTTTCTCACCACTACTCAGGAGAGAACATCTCATGTGTTCACAGTGAATACCTCTTGCTTTGTGTGCTGTCTGACTCTGCCTCTTGTTCAATTTTAATTTGGTCAGACAGCAGTTTGGAGGTTTTCTACAGCTTTTCTGGGGACTTTAACAGTGTTCAAGGTGAATATACTGGACAGAGTAGCAACAGAAAAAACAAAGGAATCTGCCATGCAGCTCTACAGAAAGTCAATGTGGTGCCTATTTGTTTGTTTGTTTGTTTGTAACTCAGTTGAAATGTTGCAGGGAACTTTAGAAGAGAGTGAAACAGGCTGTAATTAATGAGACGTGTTTAAAGACCTCCTGTCACTTTAATTACAGAGATGCCACCCTGGTTCAGGATGTCCTTGAGCGACAAATGACTCGAGGGCAAAAGACCTTATTATGGAGACACTGCTAAATTATTGTCTTATTCACTTCCCTTGATACTGCTGGTCTGTCAGATGTTGATCTAGATGGGTCTTTGCTGTTATTCAATATGGCTTTGTATATGTACTTATCTACTGTGGTAGGAAGACATTTATGGAGCCTTACAGACCACTTTTGTACACAGCTGGCATGAGAATTTCATCACGAATGTGTCATTCAGGCAGTGCAGTGCAGTCCACTGGGAAATGACTTTGCCATGAGACCACCAGAACAGACAGCTTTTAGAAACTGGTTGTGATCCACATGCTTGAAGAAAGGAGACTGTCATTGTATCAGGATTTGGTATTCAAATATAATCTAAGGTCTTGATTCCCTTCACACTTTTGCTGGTTTTAAGTGACTTCCATCTTTATATGGCAGAATAATCAAGCTGACAGAAATTTAAGACAGTTATTATCACTTACAATAGGATCATGTCTTTAACATAAGGTTCTGTTGTGACTTGTGTAGTAATAACATAATTTTGCTGCAGTCAGAAAAATTACTGTACTTCTGATTCTTAGAAGAGACAGAAAATATCCACCATCACTTTAGAACTGGCTTATTCATGACTCCTATTACAAAAAGAACCATTAAAACAGTGAACAGCTATGTTATCTAGAATCAGACTTGGTCAGCAGCCTCATTGATGTGACAGCCCAATCATGCCACACTTCATAGCAATGGGTTTTTGAAGAAGAGAAGTTACGAACCAGTGAAGTTATGGGGGAACTTTTTATTGACTTGACAGAAATTTGTGTCAACAGGTTTTCCATCCATATTTATCCAGACAGGGTTAAATAGGGATGTGTGGCTTAAATAGGCCTGACCTAAATAGGCCATTTCAGAACTGCCTTGTTTTGCTTGATTAATCCAAAGTGCTGATTGCTTTTGTGGACTGCTGCCTCGCAATTTTTACGAACTTTGTATCAGAAACACTTGGACACAGAAAGCCCCTAGTAAGGAGTTCAAGTTAGATAAGTATGCCTTTCAAATACTTATGTTTTATATATGCAGTGGAAGAACTTACAACAAGTCCAGATTTTTTTTTGGCGCACAGTATTCCACATATGCCACAAAGCAGAAACTGCAAAGAACAAAAGAAAAGTACTAATTATTTCATCATTTAAAGTCTAAAGTTTAAATCCTGCTGTCTCGCTCTAGTGGTGACCACAACAGTAGATTAGGCAATGATTACAGTTGTTGTCAGCATTGTTAGCACAAACCTTATTTTCAGGAAATTATAACTCAACCACAAACAGACTTATCCAAGAAGAAGCAACTGGAATGAGAAGTCAGACTGAGAATGATTACTTATAAAAGAAAGAAAGGAAAAAAAAAACAACTTTTAAGCTGTGTGGGTAAACAAAACATAAAAAAAAGAAAAACAATGTTCCAAGCAAAAGATGCCTTTTAATGTTTTTTGTTTTTTGTTTTTTTTTTCTTTCTCAGGAAAGTTTAGCAAGATAGTGGTCAGTGATCCAAATTATCTTCTTTCAAGTACAGCTGAGGTACTTAGTGCCCTGATCTATGATGCTACCCTGTGAGCAACTGAGGGATCATACATGGCTTTTCCTCAGGCCAGTGGATCTCTGGGCAAGAATACAGTTCAGTCACCTCCCTGGGTGCAGGTGTAAATATGAGTACATCTGTTGGTGTGGCTACACTGAACATGCAGAAAAATCTGTTTCAGAAGCTATTTAGATAGCCCACTTTGCAAGAGGTAGCATGAAGGTATCTGTACTGTTTTCATGTAGTTCCCTTTCACAAACTGATCTGCTAATTGTCGCATCAAACATTAGGCAAAAACTAATTAACAAAACCAAAAGCACCCCCTACTAGCTGATATGAATAAATATTAATGCTTTTTAGTGACCTGCATCAGAGACCGATGACATTCTCTGATATGTCTTTTTCCTCCTACAAAGAAGTTTAATGAGGAAAACAATGAATAGTCCCTGAGGGAGCAGTCATGGCAAGAACAGTAGTAGTTGTATGAAAGCAATAAGACCTTCTCTAGGTGTTTGTAATACTGACAAAAGATTTCTTTGATACCTTGTAAACTCCTTTATTAAGAAATCTGCGCTACTTATTTTCAGTAAAGCTAACCCTACACATCTTTTGGGAAGTAATTTTATAGTTTTAAAACTAAATTTTTCCACATCTTTTTTGCACTGAGATGATATTTCTAGCAAAAGGTTCTGCTTGACCTTGATTTAGTATTAAATCACAGAACAGATCTGGCTGTTTCATAAGTGAAAAAAAATTAAGCCGTTTCTATACAGTATGTAATATATCACATGTACATCTCATTCGCTCCCCAAAATATTGCAACTTCAGTATCTCAGTTGAAGAGATGCTGTAATACACAGTTTATCTCCCTCCAACTAAAGTAGTTCATGCATATAGCTATGCATTAGACTTGAGATATATTTTTACTCTGTGTTCAACTGAAGACATGATTCAGATTTTCACGTGTTTTGTATTTCTTAGCATTAATGCAGAAATCTCAAAAAAAATTGTTCAAGACATCACTGTAATTCAGTTCTATCCAGTCACACTTGATAAAGCAGATTAATAATATAATTTCTCTCTGTAGTGATTGAATAGGATGAAAAGGAGAATTTTGTATAAGGAAAAAACTATGAGTTCTGGAAAGCTTACAGAAAGAATCTGGAAGATAGTATCAAAGATTGTTTTAACTTATAACAAGTGTATGTTAACTACTTCAAAAGGCTGGGGGTTTGGTAATTTACCTTCAAAGACAAAAGAGTAGGTGAACCATTTTTTCAAGAATGCTCTAATTCTGTTCCTATTAGATTCAATTGATTTATTTACCTTTGGTTTGAATCTAAGAAGACTTTCTATTGCCATTTTACAATTCTTCACTAGCCAGAGGGGATTGTTATGAACAAATTATATTAGCCTTGCATATTACCAAAGGAGCAACAAGCAAATTGCAGATTCATTCAGCATTAGAACCCATCAGTTTGGGAAGTTCTGCTATCCTTTACAGTTTTTCAGGGACAGGACACACACCCTTTCAAACCACCTTTATGTAGTGCCATATACCTATATATTACCTAAGGTATTTCCCAATCACCAAATGAACTTTAACAAGAGCAATTGCCATATTCTGCACCTGGCACAGGGTAATCCGGGTTTTACGTACAACTTAGATGAGAAGAGGCTGGGGAGCAGCCCCACAGAAAGAAATCTGGGGATTTTGGTTAATGGCAAGTTGAGTATGAGTCAACAGTGTGCCTTGACAGCCAAAAGGGCCAACCGTGTCCTGTGGTCCATCCTGCACAGCATAGCCAGCTGGTCGAGGGAGGTGATTGTCCCACTCTGCAGTGCAGCCCCACCTTGAGTACTGTGTGCAGTTTTGCGTACCTCAATATAAGAAGGGCATCAAAGTATTCGAGTGTGTCCAGAGGAGAGCGACCAAGATGGTGAAAGGTCTTGAGGGCAAGATTTACAAGGCACGGCTGAGGTTACTTGGCTTTTTCAGCTTGCAGAAGAGAGGGCTGAGGGGTGACCTCATCGCAGTCTACAACTTCCTCAAGGGAAGAAGTGGAGGGGGAGGTACTGATCTCCTCTCTCTGGTGACCAGAGATAGGAAACAAGGAAAGAGAATGGCGCTGCATCAGGAGAAGTTCAAATTGGACATTAAGAAGAGGTTCTTCACTGAGAGGCTGGTAGGTCCCTGGAACAGGCTCGCCAGGGAAGTGGTCACGGCACCAAGCCTGTCAGAGTTCAGTGAGTGTCTGGATGACACTCTTAGTGGTATGATTTAATTTAGGTTGTCCTTTGAGAAGCAGGGAGTTGGACTCAAGGATCTTTATGGGTCACTTCCAACCTGAGATACTCTATGATTCTATTATTCTATGATAATACTTTGTTGTGTCAGGGTCTGTATGTATACTCCGTATGTATTTTGTCCCTCTGTACATCTACAATATTTATACATATGCACAAGGAATAGGGCCTCCTGTAGTTATAGAATACAAGAGAGAACCAACTGAAATTCCATTCTCTTCTCTTCTCTTCTCTTCTCTTCTCTTCTCTTCTCTTCTCTTCTCTTCTCTTCTCTTCTCTTCTCTTCTCTTCTCTTCTCTTCTCTTCTCTTCTCTTCTCTTCTCTTCTCTTCTCTTCTCTTCTCTTCTCTTCTCTTCTCTTCTCTTCTCTTCTCTTCTCTTCTCTTCTCTTCTCTTCTCTTCTCTTCTCTTCTCTTCTCTTCTCTTCTCTTCTCTTCTCTTCTCTTCTCTTCTCTTCTCTTCTCTTCTCTTCTCTTCTCTTCTCTTCTCTTCTCTTCTCTTCTCTTCTCCCCTTCCCTTCCCTTCCCTTCCCTTCCCTTCCCTCAGAGTTGAGTATTCCTGGTTCTTCCACTTTCCTCTATGTTAGCTTGAGAAGGTCATGTCCAAATTTTATAATCCATATGATACAAGACAAGCAAGTTGTGAAACTGAATGCACTAGTGTGCCTGAACGTTTTAAAAACCTTGGAATAAAAGCACTTGGGCAGTAGTAAAGGTTTAATATTATTTGAGGTTTTCTTAGATGACACTGTGTTACATTCACAGAGAAAAGGCTTGCCCATAGAACTGTGGTTATTTGTTTACAACAGTGGGCATTTTGCTCTTAAAACTAATTGATGAATTTGAGCCACAGTGTCAGCCAATTAGACCTCATGCAAAGCTTTGAAAATGATGACCCAAGTCTACCACTCTCTTCTGAAGCTGCAGAGGATTCTGGTTCACTGGAAGCAGTGGAAACCTGCTTTACAGAGAGAACATTAACAATACCCAGGGATCAGGAACACTGCTCATGCAGAGTTATGTTAGCCAGTCTTTTCAATGTGGAGACCTCTAGGAAGGTTAGGAAGTCAGTGAGACATTATGTGATTGACTCTGATCATTGCTTTTTGATAGAATAGATAAAGACTGGGAATTTTTTTGTTGGTGCTGTAGTAATCTCCTTTAAAATTTTTGAAGTCTCAGTGTTGTGATCAGCAGTAGTGAAAAGTAGATGGGAGAAACTACACTAGCTCTTTGTACCAGAAAAAGAGTGCAAGCACAAATCAGACTTAAAAGGTATTTCCTATATTTGTTCTTGCTTGTCTTTGAATTTTGAGCACTTCTATTTTATAATACTGCTATCTGGAATACAGCCACTAGGTGCTCAGCTGTCTTGCCACTCTGTTGGTTCTTGACTTGAAGGACTTAATCTTCATGTCAATGTGTCATACCACTTAAATTTGACTTGTAACTGTTGGTCTACTCTGAGCTACAGTTGACCCATTGTGACGAAGTAATACTGTCATGGTGAGGACTTGTTCCTTTGTACATGATCATTGATTATCCTCAGTCAATTTTTACCAACTTCTTGGATTCTTTAAATATGGTTACATCTTCTAACCATGTCAAACCTGAAATAAGTTAAGGCAAATACACACAGCAAATAAGTAAATCAGGAGTGGAGAAGAAATGTATCACTGAAGATTAGCTCCTTATAAAGAGTCATCAGTTGTTCCAGTGTTCACAGCTCATGACAAGAATAAGTCTAAAATTTTTTGTGAAGGATAAACTAAATTAGTAAGCCCTCCAAAATGCCCTGGGAGCCAGAGAGGAACCTTTAGCTGGGACTTGAAGCAGATGTTTCCCTGTTGGACTTTCATTTTAATTACTTTCCATCAGAAAAATAATAAAAGGCTAGAAGATTCAAAATCTCTCTTAAAAACCTACACAGACTACTATTTGGAACAAATTCCCATTATTTCTGGGGTTACTTTTGGTTGCAGACTTATTCATACCTCCTATAATGCATGACATTTGATGTCAAGACTAGCAGAGGAGGCAGGGATTTAATGTATCATACAATAAAAGATAGAGGAAGAACCGTCTTTGGGTGATGAATAAAAAAATCCAAAGAAAGACACTACAAAGCACAAAAGATACTTAGAGGCTCAGTGGGTTGTGAGTGGTTCAGTCTCCCTTTCAGAGAAGATTTGCCAGGGACTCAGCAGTGTTCCTCTGTTAACACTACTGTGATTTCAAGGTGGTGCAAGAGTGCCTAGTTGTCTGTGAAG